CGTGCCCTGGGGGGGGGGCAAGAGGCCCCCAAGACCACCCCAAAACTAGCCAAAAGGCATCCAAAATGGCCCCGAGACTGCCTAAGAGCGCTCCAAGAGGGCCCAAGAGGCGCCCAAGACGGCCCACCAGAACACCGAAACGGCCCCAAAGGGGCCCTAGAAAGGGGGCGCGACCCGAAAAACCGGTCATTCCGCCCCAAGAGGCCCCCAGGAGGCCCCAAGAGGCTCCCAAGAAATACCCACGAGGCCCCTAAGAGCCCCCAGGAGGCCCCAAGAGGGCCCCAGAAGGCCCAAAAGAGGCCCCAAGAGGTCCCCGATCGGCCCTCAGAAGGCTTCCGAATTGCTTCCGAAGAGAGGCCTCTGATGAAGGGACCCCCACGAGATTGCAACGAGCATCAAATTGGCTTCACACCCACAACCCAGGCACGGTGGCGGGATGGGCCGAAGGCCATTCGATCCGCCGCCCCCAGTCGATTCATCGCAGGGGTGCCTGGCGCGCTAAATTATTTCGGTTTGGTTTTGGTGTTTTCCAAACAAGCTCCCCCTGGGGCTTCGGCCCGTCCCGCCGGGGTCCCGGAAAGAGGTGGTTGCCAACGGTTTTCCTGCCCCAGGCGGCCCCCACACGGCCCAACATGGCCCAAGATCGTTTGCAAGACGGCCGAGATGGCCTCCAAGACGGCTAAGATGGCCCCACAGTTCCTTCATGACGGCCCAAGAAGCACCCAAGACGGCCTAAGATAGCCTCAAGCTGGCCCAAGACGGCCCTCCAAGACAGCCCAAGAGGCCTCCAAGAGGTCCCCCACGAAGGCCCGAAGAGGCCAAACTCATTGATGTTCTTTCGGTTTTTGAATGATTTTGGCATTTGCGCCTTTTCGGCCTTCCGACGGCCCAGGAGGTCTCCAAGATCGCCTCAAGATCGCCCAAGAGGTCTCCTAGGTGGCCCCATGACGGCCCAAGAGGCCCCCACGATGCCCCCAAGAGGGCCCCAAGACGGCCCAAGAGGCTTCCAAGACGCCCAAGATGGCCTCCAAGACGGCTAAGATGGCCCCGAGATGCCTCCAAGACGGCTCACGATGCACCCAAGACGGCCTGAGATGGCCTCCAGATGGCCTAGATCGGCCCAAGAGGCCCCGAAGAGGCCTCCAAGACGGTCCAAGAGGCCTCCAAGAGGTCTTCCAGGAGGGCCCGAAGAGGCCAACAGCTTTGATTTTCCTTAAGTGTTCGAGGGATTTTGGCATCTGCCTTTTTCGGCATTCCGACGGCTCAAGACGGCCCAAAAGGCCCCCAAGATCGCCCACGACGCCTCCAAGATGGCCCCATGACGGCCCAAGAGGCCCCCAAGATGGCCCCAAGACGGCCCAAGAGGCCTCCAAGACTGCCAACATGGCCTCTAAGATGGCTAAGATGGCCCCAAGATGTCTCCAAGACGGCCCAATATGCACCCACGATGGCCTAAGATGGCATCAAGATGGCCTCAAGGTGGCCAAAGACTGCCCAAGAGGCCCCCAAGAGGCCTCCAAGACGGCCCAACAGGCGGCCAGGAGGTCTTTCAGGAGGGCACGAAGGGGCCAAAATTATTGATTGTCCTCAGGGTTTTGAAAGATTTTGGCATTTGCTTCTTCTCGGCATTCCGACTGCTCAAGACGGCGCAAGGGGCCCCCAATATCGCCCAAGAGGCCTCCAAGATGGCCCCATGACGGCCCCAAATGCCCCCAAGACGGCCCCAAGCGGGCCCCAAAACGACCCAAGAGGCCCCCCAAGGCGCCCAAGATGTTTTCTAAGAACCCCTGATATGCCCCAAGAGGACCCCAAGACGACCCAGACAGGCCACCAAGACGGCTTCCGACGGCGTCAGACAAGCCAGGAGCACCCTAAGACGGCCAAAGAAGCCCCAATAAGCCCCCAAAGGCCCCCCCAAACCCTCCAATAGACCCCCAGGAAGCTCCCAGGAGGCCCCAAGAGTGCCCCAAGAGGCGCCCAAGAGGCCTCCTCCTCATCGTTTTTCCGCATCCTTCCCCTCCTCCTCTTCCTGCTCCCCCACGCGTTCCCCGAAGTCTTTCCAAACCGACTCGGGGAACAACTGGCTCGATAGCTTGGCCAAGCTCTGGCCCAGCTGTCGGCCACAGAGGCGCTTCCAAAGGGGCAAGGGGCGGCGGCGATTCGCCGTAGGCGTTTTTGATAATGGATAGCTGGCCGTCTTGGAGGGTCGGAAAGCCGAGACGGCAAGAACGCCCAAATCTTTCAGACACCAAAAGACGATCAGTGATTCTTGCCTCTTGGGGCCCTCTTGGGAGTCCTCGGGGAGGCCTGCTGGGCTTTTGGGCAGTCAGGGGGCCCGGGCCGATCTTTCGGCGACTCGGAGCCCTCTTGGCCCCCTCTCGGGACCCTCGTGGCCCGTCTTTGGGCCCTCTTGGGCCCGAGAAGTTCACGCGCCATTCCCGAAGCCCAGGGGACACGCGGGAAGTCCCAGGGGGCACGCGCCAAACCCCGCCAACTTTCG